AATCTAGATAATCTCCTCACAGATAAAGAAGAGACTTGAGGCAACAGAAATGTCGTACTACAGAAGGATGATGAGAATACCATAGACTGAACATGTGAGCAACGACGAAGTTTTAGAGAAAAAGCAAAGCAAAAAGAATACTTTTACTTAGAATCAAAAAGAGACATTTGAAATATTAAGGGCTCATAATGAGGAAAGAGGGCTTAGAAAATTGGACACCCACAGAACATATTCAAGGCAAATAGGACAAAGGAAAATAGAACATAACCTACCTAACGAGCTTGTTTAAATGGTTGGCTGGACAGGGTTTAGCAGAGATAGCAAAGCGACAAACATTACTAAGAGTTACAAAAGACAGGAAATTGTGGAGAGCCATTATCCCCCACGTTTGTTATGTAAAGATGGGCAGATAGCATAACGATTATTAGTGCAGAATGCAGAATCGAAAGAATTCTGACCAATTCAGATTCACACGACTGAGAAAGGCATGAACCCATCTACTCCCTGTCAACCTACCCGCAAATGGTTAAACCGTCGAAGCTGAAGGGGCTCCCGAGCCTAGGGTGGCAACTAGTTTAGAAGAAGGAAAAAGTGAATTCTAAACTGCAAGGAAGGCAAGAGAAAATGATTTTACGATCTTCCCAAAAAGCCATGACAAATCACAGATATAAAGGAAATGGAAGTTGTGGAGAGCTATGACGACCTACATTCTTAAGGAGCACGTCTTAACTATACTACATTCTTTCCCAAGAAGACACGGATACAGAAAATGAAAACGTGGAGAGTTATGACCACGTACGTCCTGAATTGGCATAACGTCTACACATTATTTCCCCCAAGAAGTTATGGCAAACCATAGATATAGAAAAGGAAGCTGTGGAGAGTCATGACTATGGCCTGAAAGAACAGGGCGTTTAACAACTACATATTCTTTCCCACGAAAACATAGCAAATCACAGATAAAGAAAATGGAAGCTGTGGAGAGCCATGACCACGTGCGTCCTGAATGGACATTTTTTACAGTGGTGTTCATCTTGAACAAGGCCCGGGGGCCACTCGAAGTAGAGGGTTACAGAGTAAGAGGCATAGCTTACGCGGATTTTTGTCTATGAATTCACTCGCCCGCTTCAAGAAAGTAAACATTGGTTGCACAACGACTACACTTTTCCGCCAACTAACTTAAATAAATACGACATGGGAGCCGCTAATAAAGAGAGACAAATGAATGCATGTCTTCAATAGCAGCAGCTATAACAAAAGAAACCCTTCGATGAGTACAGCAGAAGCAGCAGCACTTATAATGAGGCAGTTTAGGTCTATGGTTTCAAATTCTGCAAAGAGTTTTACCCCGTGGAATATTAGCCTAATAGATTACAGGGTTAGTTCGTGACATAGGAATTATGAGAAACAGGGTGAGTAATAACTGAGCAGTACTCAAAATAAGAACTAGACGAAATATCCATAGTCGAGGTAACAGTAGTTAGTCAATCAGTTAAATGCCATACGTGATACACGCTTGGACAATCTCTTTCGATTCATCATTCACTAGGCTGAATATTTTCCCGCAATAGTAGATTAAATAAAGATTCCAGTTCAAACTTTCATGTAGGTTACCCGGGTCGACATATACCTGATGAAGGCCGGAGTGCCTGTTGTGATAGATACACAAGATGAGGATAATAGTCCTCGTGTAAATCATCATCATTCGACCGTAACCAATGTGAATGATCATTTCTTTAGCTGTATAGTATGTGTTACTCCAGGGTTACATACAGTTTTGAATTCAGAGTTACTTTCTCCTAGACCGGTTGTCAACCAAGGCTGCCCTACTATTTACCCATGGCTGGGGGAAGAAGTGGAATCATATTATTCCCAAGGGTATTAACACGTAATTGAATGTAATGGATTCGACTGGAATTCGAACTCAGCTCTCTGATTCCTCAATCTGAGTCGCTATCCATTACTCTACCGTCAGTTAGTCAGTTATGTGCCATGCGTGATACACGCTTAGGCGATCATGTATCTTTCGATATATGAATGACGTGGCATATTTTTCCCGCAGTAGGTTGCCATTTGTTTCTGCGGTAGACCAGTTGCCATCCAAGGCTATAGATGAGGTGGGAGAAGAAACAGATTCATACCTTTCGCAAGGGTATTAGCACGTAAGTGAATGTAATGGATTTGACTGGAATTCGAACTCGGCTCTCCGATTCCTCAATCCGAGCTGCTACCCATTACTCCACCGTGTCTAAATAGTGTAAATAAAACTGACATAACTAGAAAAACAAAACCCATATAATTACAATATGAACAAAATAGAGATTATCATATTAACGCATCATCAAAACTGTTTTGATCTGAGGTCATGAATTAGCATGTTCTCTCTTCTTCAGTGACATTGTTTCCTGATTCGACAATATTTTGCCAACCCCCTCTGTTATCTACGAGTTTGCGGACGAAACAATAATGAGTTTGTTTTGTTGCATTATTATTCCGTGTATTGGTTGATATATTGAAAAGTAATTGTCATCTTTGATAATGGCTTATGTAAGCCGAAAGCTTAGATTGGATTTAAACATGTATCAATATGGTGATTTCCTTTCATCTTTCAATGATAATGTTAAGCCTATCAGACAATATGAAAGGAACTTACTTAAAATAAATAAACAAAACTTCTCTATATTTAATGAAACGCATTAATATATATATATTATATATACACACACGGAGTGATTGGAAAGTAACTCACTGTTATTTTATAAATGAGTGGCCAGCCAGAAGTCCTGATTTAAGAACCTGTAACTTTTTTTGCGGGGGGGGGGTTAGAAGCAAGTCTACTATACTAAACCAAGACTTTGGAAGAATTTGAAGGGTGAATACAAGAAGTTATGTCTTCCATACCACAAGAGTTCCTTGGTAGCTTGAGAAGCTGGTAGCGAAATCTGGTGTCCATATCGAATTTTAATTAAAACATCATTCTAAAAGCTTTCCACTCATCTCCATTTCTTGTAAAAAAGTAGAGTTAAAAATAAATTATAAGTATTTTAAAATTTAAGCTACTTTTCAATCATCTTGTTTATTGTATATATATATATATATATATATATATATATATATATATATATATATATAAAAATTTTTATCATTTCTAACTTGATCTCTGTCGAAGAAGATAATAAAGTGAAACATGATAGATTTTTATTCCCTACTTGTTCATTATCCTATCATTTTGTTTATATATATATATATATATAATCTTTAAATATATGCTAACTATTTATGGGATAAACTGCTCAATATCAGAGATAGAGCGTTGTAAATATAAAAAGTGAAATAGAATCAACACTTATTTACGACAGTCTGTTTCATGCTTGATCTCAAATTGCAATCAGATGTCATCTTGGATAAAGAAGTGACATCTATGTTCATTTTATTCTCAATATATATATATATATATATATATATATCTGTGTGTGTTTATGAAAATATATAAAAATACGAAAAGGAATTGTCAGTGGTCAGGAATTAATGCAAATTAATTTACTAACAGAATAGGTTTAATTAATAAACATTTGCTATAAATGTTAGCACCTCAGGATTACTCAAGAAATAATATAAGCATAATTAAAATAGTCAACATAATACGTATATATTATTTATTAACTGATGTTATATGTATTTACAACACTCTGAAGGCCCTTGAAATGGTACTTACAACCCGGGTGTATTTTTTAAAATCATTTCACCCCAAACAAGACGGGAATGTTATTAGTACGCAGAGAGTTACAGAAAGTGAAAGTGAGCGAAAAGACTGAGTATAGGGAGGATTGCGGAAAGGACAAAAGATGAACGACATTCAAGACAGAGGAGAGCAATTGACGTTGCATTTAAATTTTTGAAGATTGTAGTTATCACGGAAGCAAGTAAATGGAAGGGAGTTCCACAGTCGAGAAGTGCGAGAGATGAAGCTGTTGGAGTAGAAGTGCTGGTTACATTTAGCAATTTTAACAGTAAAACGGTGGGACCTAAATGCCAATCTAGTAGCACGCTTAAATCCATGTAGTCGGGTCACCAGGGAATAAGTCTCGTCAGGGCAGTTGTCATGAAAATATTTGTAGAAAGGACAGAGGGAAGCCTTGTCACGTCGATGAGTAAGTGACTGAAGTCGAGATGCCAGGTCAGGATCGATTTAATTGCAGATCCTTTTTGGAATTTTCTTAAGAATCTTGAGACGAACAGCAGGAGCACTAATGAACATAACTTTATCATCGCTTTAAAGTATTGTTTACTTGCTGTTTTGTTTTTGTTTTTTTTTGTTTTTTTTACATCTGCATCACTTGCGTGCCAACATCAACACGACTACAATTTTATTCCCACACGGACTCTTCGTCTAAATTTAAGGAGTCAGCTACTTTTTTTCCCCTTCAGCTCATTTCATCACGCCAAACGCGCACGCATGCGCGAACAGAGAGTTAAAGAAAGAGAGAGAAAGAAGGGAGTGTCTAACTTCTTCCTCGCCTACCCTTCGTCGATGAGTTAATGGAAATGCTAATCAATACTAGACGCGGCGTTTTAACACCACTGATTCGGCGATTGTTGAACTGCCAACTACAACGAACAGTCACTTCTTCAAAAGGACAGACCTTTTTCCCCCCGTTTTCTTTTTCCCACGCTGCCTCACGGGACACGCAAGAAGACGTGTTTCTGAATTCTAATAATAATCATAATAATGATAACAACAGCCACCGTACGTAACATATCATTCATTCTTTCTGTTCCGACAATTAAACAACTTCCAGATAATGTCAGCGTGCCCAAACCACGAACAGGGGTACATTACTAGCGTTCATTTCAATTAACAGAATCCTTGACCGGAAAACGCATGTCTCTTGATTGTAATGGAAGAAACTTTTCAAACGGCCCAAAAAGGTAATTGTAAACATTTTTCCTCTTTGGTTAGTTGCTATACTGTGTTATTTATCGTCACACTCGTAAATAGCCGTATCACGTTGATACACCGGTTCCTGTGCGATCACCAAAGTTAAGCAACGTCGAGCCTTGTTAGTACCTAGATGGGTGACCGCTTGAGAATATCTGGTATGTAAGCTTGGACGCGCGGTTAGTGTAATGAATAAGAGCTAAGAATTTGAAATCTGAGAGCCGTGTTCCAAGTCCAGTTGGGTTCGTTATATTCACTTACCCTTGGAAAAAGTAGGAATCGACTGAGTGAGAACTCAAACAGGGTACTCTGAAGCGGAAGAGGTCTACCCTAGGTAAACTATTCTTTTGTCAATGTTAAATAGTTGCATAATTTCGAAGCAGACCTCGTATTTTTGTATTCATTTTTGAAAATATCTGTCATCTACTCATTGTCTGATTTCAAGTTTTATATCTCGTAGTTTTTTTTTACAAATTAAGAGATCAAGTGATAGTAAATTACACCAGGACTCTCCTCAGTACCGTAGGCATTTTATACTATGCCGTCGTTGAGATGATTCTGACACTTCATCTAAATTTTCGTTCTTCCAGCCTTTCTCTCCAGGTTCTTTAACACTGTTCCTAATGCTCCGATAACGACTAGCACAACCGTCACTTTTTTGTGTTTTTAAACAAACTCATTATCACCATTAAAACACTGTCCAGTGTATGAAGATACACTACACCCAGCTGCAGGGTCTCTGATCGGGAAACACCTTTTAATTGCTGTTGTTCCCAGGTCCACCCTAATCTCGGGGTGGTAGCACCTGTTGGGATTCTAGCTATGGACAAATAGTGAAACGCCAAACAAAAATAAAGACACTGGGATTTTGTATATGAAATTACTAATGCTCCCAAGGAAATTAAATTTCGGCATTAAATGACCCATAAGGTGTTGATATGCCACTAATCAAACGAACAACCGTTAAAATAGGCGGACTAAAGAAAAAATCCAGGGAGAAAAAAAAGTGATATTTTTTTTTTTTATATATAGTTGTTATCGACAGTGTCGATAATGAAGAAAAAAGCTGACTGGTTTTCGTTGGTTTCGTCCGAAATAGGGGGGGGGGTGAATCAAGAGAGAATATACTCATGTATAATTAATAATAATAAGCAGGGCCCATGAAAATTTCACGATTTATCTGTTTTACTTTTCAGGTGTATCATAATATTTAATGAATAAATAATCTCCTTACAAGTTCGATGAGTACAGAATACACGTGGAATTTTCCCCATTGCATCATTAAATATTTGAATTTAACAACTTTAGTTAAATATTGCAATAAAAATGATTATGCAGAAGAAGTATGAGGGTCCAAATCAAAATATTAAAAACTGTTGCTGTTTTCCATTTCCCTGATGAAGATTTGAAATGAAATCATTCTTTCAATTACTTTCTTCTTTTTTCCATTGCTCTGCTTTCCTCTTTCTTTCTTCCTTTCTTTCTTCCTTTCTTTCTTTCAATTGCTCTCCTCTTTCTTTCTCTTTCGTTCCGCTGCTTTATTCTTTCTCTCTCTCGCTCCATTGCTTTCTCTGTCTCTCGTTCCATTGCTCTCTCTCTCTCTTTCATTTCATTTCTCTCTTTCCATTGTTCCCTTTCTTTCTCTCTCGTTCCACTGTTCTCTTTCTATCTCTCTCTCGTTCCATTGCTCTCTCGCCTTCTCTCTCTCTCTCTCTCTCTCTCTCTCTCTCTCACTCTCTCTCTCTGTAATTAGGTCTGGGTAGTGTTTATACCAATTTTAATCCCTTTCCTTCCCATAAAAGTTGCAGGTTCCCAGTGCAGATATTGGCCCACCCTGTTACGTTTAGTTTTATATTCAGTGGGTATCAATGCCGTGCAACCCGATACAAGATGGTCAATTGTTTCTGGATATTCATCACAGAATCTACATTTGGGTTGAACACAATTTTTCAGTATGTCTGCTTGGCAATTTCTAATTAGCAAGCATTTGTCATATTAAACAAGAATAAAACTTTCCGTTTAAACTTTTAATCCTGCACTTCTTAACAACTGTTGCGTACGGTGTTTGTCTATATCAGCTTCTTTGATACGGGCAGATTATTGACCATGAAGATGTTTATATTGCCATCATTTCTCACATTTGGTCCATTGAATTTGCTTTCAGGTTTTTAACGCTGCAGCAGGTGTATTATGGTTTATTTACCCTTTTTCGTCCACTTGAAATACCCTTTTGAATTTGTTGGCTTCCTTTATTACTGAATAAAGTTTCTTATTTCTTTCATGTTCTTTGACACAGATCATCATCCAATCTTATGTAGTTTCTAGGTATCTTTGAAAACCGATTGTTGTAGTTTTGTAAGACAGTTCTAGTTGAATTAATCCTCTGCCTCTTTTGTCTGGTAAAAAACAAAAAAAAAGACCTTATGCAACTGGAATTTATAAACAGGGATCATTACATTCATATACAGGTTCGGGGTTAGTGTACCTCATTAAATTTGTTTGCGAAGATGTATTCTCGCCATTTAAATCAAAGTCATTAACTGTTAATATTTGTTTTTGTATGAATGAATGAATGATTTATGTATTATATATATTAATATAAATATATATAAATATATATATATATATATATATAAATATATATAATATATAATAAATATAATATATTTACAATATATATATAAATATATTTATATATATATCATATATATATATATATATATATATATATATATAAATAATATATTATATATATTAAAATTCCAAACAGTCAATATATATGTATATTTAAATATATATATAAATAAATATTTTAAAGATTATATATATAAATATATGAAAATATAAAAAATATATAAATATATATTTATATATATAGTGTATATATTTCTATATACAAATTATATATAAAATATATAAATAAATATACATATATTTAATATTTATTATATATAAAAAATAAATATTCATATATATATATTAACCTATATATTATAATTATATTCATATTTTTATATAAATATACAAATATATAAATATATATATATATATATATAAAATTTCTTTATATAAATATATATATATATTTTTAAATATATATATAATATATATATATATATATATATATATATATAAATATATATATATATATATAAATATTATAAATATATAAATATATATATATATTTAAATATACAAATATATATATATATATATATGTATAAAAATATATACATTAATATATAAATATATATATATATATATATATAATATAATATATATATATATATATATATATATATATATATATATATATATATATATACATATAGAGCTTAATTTTTTATAGTTTGTAGGCTGCCTGGTTTTTCCTGGTATTATGGGTCGTATTGGAATGGCCTGGTTTGTTTGCTTACATATACATCTATACACGCACACATATACATACACATACGCATATACATACATATCAAATCCGTAGTGGACTGTAGATATTTGAATAAGCCGATTCCAATTTGGTCAATGTTCTTTCTGCCAAATGTAATACCGCTTTGTACAATTATTGTCTTTGCTGTGGTCAGTGGTAATAACGCAGGGCCTGGCTCTTAGGTTTTCTATTGAGATTTGAGTGATTAGCACATTTTTAATGTTTTTTTTCCTTCTCAGTGAATTCTGTTCTCTTTTAATCAGACTCATTTTTTATTAAATCAAAAGCACCGTTAGAAGTGTTACGATGAACCACAAGTGCGTTTAAATTGTTGTTATGCAGAAAACTCTGAGGTGTTCATATAATCTCTTTTATAGGTTTCTGGAGGTGTCATCAATGTACAGTTCAAAAGTTTAGGGTCATCCCTGGTAATTTTTAAATTGATCCAAAAAGTAGTTCTTTTGTAATTTAAATAAGAGAAAATTATTATACATATTTAAAAAAAATGACATGATTTTTTTTATTAGAAATTTTATTTTAACCAAAAGAAAAAACATTTTATGATTAAATTTTGCTCTCTTCAAAATATACTCCATTAGACTTGATTACTGCAGAAAAAAACATTTTCGCATTCCTTGCAAAAGTTTCTCAACGTATAAGTTTGATAACTGTTTCCATTCTTTTTTCAAAGACTCTAAGAGCTTTTTATCATTTTTTTTTCACTCTTCTGACAAGTTCATCTCATGCTAATTCTGAGGGTGGCTTCAAACTTTTGAATTGCAGTGTACATCAATCGGCATTTTGTATAGTTTATTTTGTATATTCCTGTCTCTGTTCTGTTGTCGCTATCTTGTTTGACGTTAACTAAATCTCTTATTGTTTTAGAGATGGTGTTGATAAATTTTATGTCAACGTTGGGCAAGTTTGTTTTTTTTTTCAATGGTGGCTGTTATGCAGTTGTTAGGTAGGATTATGTTTGCTTTTTGTTATCAATATCGGGACTATTATTATTTGTGGTTGTTTGTATTTTTCTACGATGGAAAAATGTATTTTTATACTTTCCCGGTGTTTTTCATTTTGTTTGAGGTTTCCCCATTTCCCCATAGCTGGGACCCGGGTCAGAGTGGATATGGGGACAACATCAGTTAGGAGGTAGTTCCCCGCTCCTCAAAACCTCCAAACTCCCGATCAGAGGTCTTGCTGCAAGGTGTAGTTTATCGTCAGAACAGTGAACAATTGTAAATAAATAAATTAAAATAACTTTTTGATGTACCTTTGAGACACCAAAATAGCAAAAGTTTACAAAGCCGAGAAAAGAAAAAACCGACTCTGTGAAAGAGACTAGGGAAACAATAATAACAACTGGAAAATGTTACTTAAAACTCATATATGAAAACCTTATACTAATAGTAAGGGATTAACAAAATATGTAATCGTTTTTTAACTCATTAGTAAGCTCATGTTAATAGAAGATTCTCGTAGATAAGAATAGATTTCTTACTGTAATTAAATTAAATGACCCCCTCTCCAGAATGACAACAACGTCATCTAATAATTGGAAACCAAATATATTTAGAGTCACGTATCAAAACATATACCATTGAGTTTATTGTGTAATTGGTGTACCGAGTTCAAATTCCAGTCGAATAAGTTGCGTCCAATCTTGCACAAATAAACTTAGAAAAATATATGAATCTACCCTACCAACAAAAATAGAAGTGCAGGTTTTAGCC